TGCTTGCCTTCATGGAATTTTCCTCTCGAGCTCTTCTCTAACTTTTCCTTATCTTCTAATTGTTTCAATCAATTCTCTCCATATCTCGAGAATCACGATCCTGGGTTTTGTTTAGTTTATTGTTTTTGACAAAGATACCATAGTTCGTTTTGATTCTCATCACAGAAAATTAGTGGGTTCAGAGGGTTGCTCTGGTTAGGCTCTCTTCCTGCTAGTGATGCAGAATTCTGATCGAGACAACCAAGATCAGAGGTAAATTGCATCTGGGTATTTCTTATTTTCATGATTTTGATATTCTTAGCTAGGTGTTGACATTTTCAAAGTGTTGTCAGCTCATGGGTTTGTTCTGCAACATTTGTTTTTTCTTCTTTGCCCTTGTTGACCAATTCTTCTTGTTCATAGATTCTTTCTGAGTTTCTAGCTTATTGAATGGATTATGGCTTCTTCTTTTTTTGTTCATAGATTGCTTTAAAGTCTCATTGGGCTCTGTAGTCAAAGAATTATATTGATTATTCCTTTAATGGAGATGATTTGGGAGCAGATTTGTTTGAAATCATTTTTCTCTAGAGAGATTAGTGATTAGAATTGTAAACTCAATTTAGTCAAGAATTTAAATGAGAAGTCATTGCATTTTCTATTTTGGGACTGGATTGGCTTGGGGTTCTTCCATCTGCCAAATTTGAAAGCAAAGAAACTAAAGAAAGCACGGGACTGCTGTGATGGACAGAGACCTTTTTTGACTTTTCAAGCTGTGATAGCTGATGTTAGAGCTAAGTTTAGAGGTTTTGAGAGCCTTCAGATCTTTATTAGAACTAGGATGTATGTTGGTTCCTTGGCTGTTAGTGAAATATAATTAGCCTTTTGTTTTTGCCAGGTTTACTTTCTTGGTTCTCTTGTAGCCTAGTTTCCTTTGGTAGCAGGAAGCATCTGTTTTTGTTCTCTTGTACTGAGTCATCTTCCTGCTATGTATCAATGAAAATGAAGCTGACATTTGCTAACTTCATGATCCATTTTTTGGTTTGTTCATGGTGGTTCTACTAGTGCAGGACTGTTTGACTTTCGTACAGTCCCAAACCTTGAAAACATACTTCTTTCCAAGAGTAAAGTTAACTTTGATTAATAATTAAAATTTGTAATCAACTGTATGAAATGCATGAAATTTTTATATGTTAAATGCTATTTCCTCTTTTTAATTTTATGTTAAATATGACTTCTTTAATCAGGGAAAATTCTGGCATGGAGGATTCAACTGCAATGACTATTGAATTCCTTAGAGCACGCTTGCTCTCAGAAAGATCTGTCTCAAGAAGTGCAAGACAGAGAGCTGATGAACTTGCCCAAAGGGTATGCTTATTTACTGGAGTTCTTTTGAATTTTGCTGGTTTTTTTTCGACAAAATTCTTCTTTATTAAGTTTTTTATTGTTGTTTTGGTAAATGAATTAGGTAGCTGAACTTGAGGAACAGCTACACATTGTTTCTCTCCAAAGAATGAGAGCTGAGAAGGCGACAGAAGATGTTCTTGCCATTTTGGAAAGCAATGGGGTAAGTGACTTGTCTGAGGAATTTGATTCGAACTCAGACCAGGAGACCCCCTCTGAATCCAAAGTGGATAATGGCTCTCTGAAAGAAGGAGAGAGCTCTGTCAATTCGAATTTGGGAAAGAAAGGGACAGAGGAACTTTCAGGTTCTGACCTTAATTTTTCAACAGTACCTGGTAGAAGCCTGTCTTGGAAAGGCCGCAAGAATGCTTCCAATTCTCCTGAAAAAAGGTACAAGGATTCACATGCTAGAAGACGGGGTAGTTTTTCATCTATTTCCTTTTCTTCTCCAAAACACCGCCAAGGCAAATCATGCCGCCAGATAAGACGTAGAGAATCAAGGTTAGTTTATCTTCATTTCATATATTGTAATTATGTGGCATGCCTGTTATTTAAAATAATGAATAATGGGAATGGAAGAAAATGTAAGAATTAAGTCTATGATTGAATTTGCCTCTGATCTTTTCACCAAGTTAAACAATTTACAAATTACAATAGAGAATGCTCTTATCATATGAAGTATGTGCACAAGAAATTGAATTCTACCTTGTTGAATATCTTAGTTGCTATCATCATAAAATTTTTGTAGAGCAGATGGTTGCTGTCAATGGAATAGATTTTAGGTTGATTGTTACAACTTAATAGGGAGAAAAGGCAGTGAGAAAGGAAGATAAGAAGAATGCCTGTTTTAATCTGATACTCCTTGGAAATTCTAATGCGCATAGAACCAAAACATTTAAACAAAATGTAATAATTATAGGGATTAGAATCTTGAACTTTCAGCTGGAAATTACTTAAAATAAGAATTTTCTTAATCTGGAATCTAGACGCATTACTGAATGTTCAGATCCTCATATTTGAGTTCTTCTGTAACTGAATACACTGGAAATCTGTGTGCATTTTTATTTACCAGATCAATTGGTGAGATGCCTAAAACGGATGATGTCAAGGTTGATTCAGAAGAAAAAGGACTTATAACCTCTTCAGATGTTAACCCTTGTCAGTCTGAAAAGGTTGTGCTGAGAGCAGGTGAAAATCCTGCAGACAAAGATTTAGCAGAAACACTTTCTGATGTCTTGAAAGATGAAAGAAATACAAACAGTAGTGATCTTGACTTGCAAGGAGATGATGGGGAGAAAAATATGGAAAAGGCACTAGAACATCAAGCCCAACTTATTGGCCGTTATGAAGCAATGGAAAGGGCCCAAACAGAATGGGAAGAGAAGTTCAGAGAGAATAATAGTAGTACACCGGTATGCTTCATCATATCCTATATACTTGTTAATCATTTAATTGTTTCTACATGTTCATTATACATGGTTCACAATGTTGTGCATTTTGTAAAATGGTAGAGTGCAGATACTGAATTTCTTGTTCAGTTAACTTCATTTTGGTGATGAACATATGTCAAGATCTCTCTCTACTTTTACTATGTTGACCCTTTTTTTTTTCTATGTTAATTGCAGTGTTCATAGACACAATTTTATTTGCATCTTTTGTCATGAAATCTTGTGTAAAACCTGACATGGTGGACTCTGCTGTTATAAATATTTTAGGATTCATGTGATCCTGGGAACCACTCAGATGTCACTGAGGAAAGAGACGAGATCAAGACACAAGCTCAATATGTTGCAGAAACAAGTACTTCCCAAGTCCAGGAAGCTGAGGTAGAACGTGATTGCTTCTCTAAAGAATTGCCGGCTCAGTCTAGTAATTTTGTGCCACCTCCACATAGTGATTTGAATTTTGTCCAGGATAAGAGGCACAACAGTGCTCCCGCTACTGCATCTCAAGGTCCTGAATCCCATGGTCAAGACTTTGCATTTCCCGTGGCAAATGAAAATTATGATCAGGAGCACCTGCAAAGCCAATCTTTGCACAACTTCCCTAGAAGCCAACCACCGCACCACCATTTATCAAATGTAGGCAGCAGTTTTGATGGAGGAGAAGCTTCCAGAAGGCAGCATGACCTATATGCAATGGTGCCTCACGAAACATCTAGTGGGTATGCTGGCGTGCTTGATGCACTTAAACAAGCTAGGTTATCACTCGAACAGAAAATTAACCGATCATTGCTAGTAGAAGGTGAGTCTGTTGGAAAAGCTATCCAGCCTTCTATCCCAGTAACAAAAGCTGTGGAAAGGGCTGATATTCCCATTGGATGTGCTGGGCTTTTCAGATTACCAACTGACTTCCCAGCTGAGGCCTCTAATGACAACAGCTTTCTAGATTCTGGTTCTCGGTTAAGTTTGGCCAACCACCTTCCTGAAACAGGAGTTGCTTTAACTGCTGGCAATCAGTTCCCACCCAGCTCTTATATGAATACTCAGTTGAGTAGGAGTTACAATCACCTAGATCCTGGTGATCAATTTCTCACTAGTCCTTACATGGCTAGCATTTCAGGTTTTTCAACTATCCCCCCTCGATTTCTCACTAGTCCTTACATGGCTAGTAGTTCAAACTTTTCAACCATCCCCCTTGTGCGTGCTACATCTGCTTATCTCAATGGGGGACAACTTCTCACCAGCCAACATGTGGACACAGGTTCAGTGATGTCTGCTCAAAAACAAAGTTCTGATCCCTACATGGATACCAGACTACCCTCATCTAGTCTGCACAATTATCCCACCTTTCCTGACCTAATGCCAAGGACATTCAGTAGAGAAGGGTTTCCAACTTTCCATCCCAGTAGGTCAACTGGGTTGCCTGATCAGTTTCCTCTTTATGATCAACATTTTAGACAAGATATGTATAGATAGTAAAATCCCTTGAGGTTATGTAGCTTATTAGCATAGTATCTTGTTAAAGAAGCTTTCAAGCATATTAGCTTTGTAAGATGTTATCAATTCTCTCATCGTGGCTATTGAAGGGCCATTCTTGTGTAGTATTACCATTTTTATGCACAATACTTTTGAGTCCCAGATGATATTTATAGGCCATAGGTTCTTCCCTATCCGCATGTTTAATTCTCATTGCCATTTTTGTTCTCATTCATCTAGAAAATATATATTATTATCATCAGTTCATGACTTCCTTTCTGGATTTGGAAATGGAAGATATTTGTTCTTAAAGAAAGCTTTGGTAGTTTCAGCAGGAATGTTCGAGAGTAGGGTGATATGATATACGAAAAGCTTTAAGAGCACGAGATTAGAAAAATAGTAATTAACTGTTGGATAGCCAATGGTCCTCCCCACCTCAGTCTGCACTCTAACAAGCCAATGCATCCATCCTTAAGCCCATGCCAGTATGAGAGAGAAGCACTGGGGTTATTAGAGCCTACTACACTTTCACCTGCTGATGAAATTTTAAGGTGATCACGAAGTGTAGCAGTGCAAGGAATCAAAGGAACTGCAATTTCAGAGACAAATGACTTAACAGGAGCTCCACTTTCAAGAGATAATACGGAAGCAAGAGCCAGCATTGCTGACATACAATAAGG